TGCTCTGTCAGTCACACTTCATCATCTCCCCTGTCTTATCCTACTCCCGTAGGGTCGGCGCACCGTGTTTTTGTCCTCCAAAGCACTCTATCATCCGTCATCTCTCATAACATGCCCATACAACTCTAACCTTTTACTCCTTATTTTCTCAACCACTGGGGCTACTCTCAAACTTCCTCTAATCTACTAATTTCGTATCTTATCCAATCGTGTTACACTTATAAATAAAAAACAATATAAACTGTTATTCAAAATGCTTTGATTTTCCTTAGTTACTTAAGTCCAACAGATCAAGCCAAACAAGATAAGCTCAATCTAACAATCATATTAACTAATGCTTTCTCCGTAAATGTAGAACAGACGTTGAAATACAATGACAAGAAAGAACAAAGTCACACGAGAACTGATGTAAGATAAATAAATTATGTGTCTACTGTTTAAAAAAATTGCAGATCCTCCGCAACTACAAATAGCTGTAGAAGGAGAACTCGAAAACAACACTCTGAGTGCGGTAAAGGGCAGCAACTTGACTATCAACTGCAGCTACGAGGCCAATCCCTCCGTGTACCAAGTCACCTGGTTTCATGGGGTAACTCTATTGTTACTATTAAACATGCCTTAAAATAATGTAAAATTAAATTATCCTATGTTATATTCCATAAATTATGATTTACAAAAATCTCGTTAAATAAAAAAAATCGTAAATGTCATTGTTGTTGTGTAAAACTTACAAGGAATATTTTGTCTTAATATTGCAGGATGATTTGGTGAACCAGAAGTACGACCACGAGGAGTCATCGATCAAGCCGACACTGGAGCTGACAGAGATAACAGAGGCCGAGGCGGGCGAGTACGTGTGCGCCGCCACCAACAACGAGGGGTCCGCCTACAGCGAACCTATTGTCATCGATGTCACTTGTAAGACATCATATTTACTGCGACGCATCTCATACTAAACTGAAGCTGTCGGTAGCAATTAATGTATTAGGTCATGTTAATATTGATACTAAAACGACTTTTAACATAATCATACTTCATACTCATATTATAAATACGAAACTTTAGATGGGTGGATGTTTGCTAAACTTTGTAACCTGAACTGCTGAATAAATCTCGATGAAATTTGGCTTAGATGTAGAGATAGTCTGGGAGAATACATAGGCTACTTACTTTTGATTTTTAACACACAGACGGAGTCGTAGTAATGAAATAATTTAATACAAGAACATTTGTTCCAGATCCTGCGTACTGTGAAGACGAAACGATATCGGAGTACGGCGTGTCGGCGGAGGACAGCATCAACATAACGTGCGGCGTGCGCGCCAACCCGCCGCCCAGCGCCTACCGCTGGGCCTTCATCAGCGAGACCATGGACCTCGACAAGCGCCGCACCAACCAGACCTACAACGTGGAGACAGAGGACCCCACGCTCACCTACAGAAGACCCAACGACACTTCATATAGTAAATGTCTTTTCAATACTAGCTGTTGCTAGCGACATCGTATGCGTGGAAATTAAAAAATAGTAAAAAATATAGTCTATGTTACTCAGTTGTTTTTGAGTTATTTCAATTCATATAAAAATCTTTCCTCAGTATAATATTAATATAGATTACGTGACTTGTATATCTATAATAACGAGATTTTGTATGTATAGAAACAACATAAAACCCACTGGGTCGATTTCAAAAATTCTGTCACCATTAAAAAAGTCCGTTATCGCTGAGTAACATTGGCTGTTTATTTTTAATTTCACGTAGACGATGTCATGAGCAACAGCTTATCAATATTAATTTATAAATAGGAAAGATTTGTTATTTTGTTTTATTTGATTCACGTAAAAACTACTGAGCCGATTTTAAAAATTCTTACACTATTAGAAAGTATTATAAGTATTATATGTGTCCACATGTTTGTAATATTGTATCTTCAAGCATTGATACGTTGTTGGGGCCTGAACAACGTGGTGGGCAGCGCGCTGCCGCAGACCAGGTGCTCCTTCCTCATCACGGACGAGACCGCGCCGCGCCCGCCCGCCGCCTGCTCCGCCGTCAGGCACCACCACGACATCACCGTCTCCTGCCGCAAGGGACACGATGGCGGCCTACAACAAGTAACTTTATCTATACTTTTATGCTTAATATTATAAACTACTGGGAAAAAAAATCTTAAACCAGTTAAAAGCTACGTTATCGGTGAGTAACATAGGCTATTTTTTTTTATTTCACGCCAGCAATAGCTTGTTTTAACTACAGTGCAATGTGGATTTAATTACTAAATATCAATACCGTTGAATTGTTTCAGAAATTCAAATTTAACGTATTTTCGTCGGACTCGGAGGAACAAACTCTGTCGATTATAAACCAGGAGCCCAAGTTCATAATTCAGGAGCCTAAAGAAGAGTCATATAAGTTTATTGTGGTCGCGTTCAACGCTAAAGGAGAGAGCAGTACAGTCGAGATAGATAAAGACAGCATTATTGATGAAACTGAAGGTAAATTGTGTATTTTTAAATAGTGTCGAAATCAAGACTGGTAGCCATAATCGATTATATTCAGGTGAAGTTGGTCCTGTGAGCGCGGTGAGCAACATCACCGCGCTGGCGCTGGCGCTATGCGGCGGCGTGCTGCTGCTGGCGCTGGCGGCGTGCGGCCTGGTGCTGTGTGCGCACGAGCGCACGGCACGACACGACCTGCCGCGCGCGCACTCTGACCCCCCGCTCTGCGCCTACAGCACTGAGGGTACTCATTAACTTTACGTATTTTACTTTCAGAGCATCTTGTGCACCGATGCAAAATAATTAAATTTGAAAACTAATATTTGTGCTTCTGAAAATTGAGTCGTGTATTTTGATATGTGAATAATGTAGTTGTATTTTCAGACACAAACTGTGAGACGTATCACGACAGCGACGATGGCAGCGAGTGCAACGTGCGGCGCACGGAGTCGTTCCGACGTGCCGTGTCGCGCTACCCCGGCAAGAACTACGACGTGCGGCGCACCGGCTCCTTCCACTCGGCGCGCTACGTGCACGAGCTGGGCGAGCCGCGCGCCCCCGCGCCGGCGGAGGGACACGCGCTCAGACACAGCGCCAGCTGCAGGATGCACTCCATGCAGAACGTCAGCAGGAAGCGAGACATGGACGCCCTCTGCGATCACCTAGTCATGCATCTACCCCCAGATACTAACTATAACGTCGCTAAACCGGTAAGCATAAATGTTTTAATTTTTTACTAAATCAAGATTCTACAGTCAAGATGATATTGTTATTGCAGATGAATACATTTTATACGATGCCCAGAAAAATGCGACATAAAGCAGCAAAGGAATTGAGCGACGAAACGTCTGAAATAACGCAAACATCTGACGGATTTTCGCTACCACCGCCGCCGGATGAGTTCGGAACGTATCGAGCCGCCACCAAGATCAAAGATATGCCATCAAAGTCTACACCAACGTACACCACTATCTTAAGAAAAAGTCCTTCAGGCAAGGAGTTAGGGAAGCAACAAACTATATCTCCTAATACAATAGGCCTGCCGACTGTCAGCGGCGCTCACAATGGCCTGTACACGTATCCAGATTACGACAGCCAAGGTAACCCTATTAATACAAATCCTTTCGATGATTCTTCGTAATAATTGTTGCTGGTCACATACGCAAGGGAGACAAGGGATGCAACAATTTAGGTAATAAATCGATTTTTGCCAATTAGTTATTTTGTTGTAACTTGATATCAGAAAATATAGTGCTAATTTAATAAAAAGCAAGTATGCACTTGTAACAAATCTACGGGTCAGCCCCACAAAATTGTAAATTGTCTGATAATAATCCAACGTGTAAAATATGTAATGAAAATATCGGATTGTTATCTTGTCTGACAGTGACTTCATTTTTAAGCTGAGCGGTCATGAGCCAGTGGTGTGACAGGTCTTAGTATTTTAATGATTTACCAAAGTTTATCTAGTCCATTAGGACTCAGCTATAGACCAAACCAGTACGATCTCACAGCCTGCATTTTGTTGCACAAGTTTAGGATAAAATAAAATATAATTTGTACTTCAAAAATTTATTTACAAAAATAGAAACGATTTAGCGATGCTTCTCCACAATTGTACGAATAATTAATTCGTCGCGTTTCCATTTTTATATGCACATGATTGACATTTATTTATTAATGACAATTTTCTTCTATTTTTTTAATCATTATTTTTTTGACGATTCAATGTCCTGACAAATACATATTGTTAATTCACTGCCATACTATATCATTTGTACTCAATAGATCTCGCCAATGTGTACATTTGTAAGAAACTTTCACGTTCAGAATAAACTTCATTCATGCAGTTTTATTAAATTAAATGTCAACTTTCACTATTGTTTCATTTCAATACAAAAATAAAGGATTGTCGAAAAAATCTTATAAAAATCGTAGAATTCTGATTGAAAAATTACAAAATGAGACGAATGTTGAGGCGGCAAGTTATTCCATCCGATCTAAGTACGCCTGCGCTACTGTCAGCTTGTCGATCAGTTGCTTCGTATTCGGCCGGGACTGGAACAAAAACAAATCACTTTCAAATTGCTAGTACACAAAAAAGTTGCATTAAAAAGAATTCTATTGTGTGTGACTGTGGGACTTTTTTCATTAAAAACATTTTGGAATATTGTCTCTAGATTACTTTACGAGATCGTGGCAGCCCTAACAAAGTGAGTACAGCAAAAGCTCCATATACAACATTAGTAACAATTACGTTTTTAAGATAATAGTCAATTATTGAGTAATAGGCGATTTGAATTTAAATACGCACTTTATGCGTCTGTCAATGTTGTTTATTGTATATGGATTTATAGATTGGTCTGTAATTACAATATTAAGGATGGGAAGTAAAAGTGGATTTGAAGGTGGAGGAGCCGCATAGGAAGGGGAAATGTCTTTTTTATGTGCGTCTCCTCCTTCGTCAATTAAGGGTAGGCAACGCATCTGTGATCACGGATGTTTATGGGTAGAGGTCGCTTATATTATAAAAAAATTGGAGGTGCAGTAAGACCTGGAGCGCGGAGAGCGCGGCCTCGTGCAGGTCCTTGCAGCGCGCGAGGGCGCGGCGGCGCGGCGCGGCGGGCAGCGCGGCCACGTCGGCGCGCGCCGCCTCCAGCAGCGCCGCCGCCGCGCCGCACACGTGCGACTCGTCGCCGCACCCCAGCCACACGCGCTCCTTCACGCTCACCAATCTATTATTTAAATTACAATTACTAAAACAACTATAAACATTACCATACAAAACATAGTGTTTCAAATACGATTTTTGACAAATCATAGCTAGAGTATGATATTACTCACTTAATATAAATATCGAGCACTTGCTCCAATGATACTCCTATATTTAATACAGCCTTGAAAACCATGCTCTTGTCTGCTTGCATTTTGCAGCTCATTATTTCTAATTGGCGGACAATGAAATCTGAAAACACAAGCAAATGATATATTTAAATCCAATGCAACTTGTTTCTGTCTTCACATATTATTCTCTAAAAGAAAAAAAAAACAGTAAATTTTACTGATACATGTTAATGCGTGAATTTAGTTAAAATGGTTGGATGTTCATTACTATGAATAGTCTCTATCCAGAATAATTTAACTGACTAGAAGTACATAAGCTATTAATAAAGTGTCTAAACAGATAGTAAAAAATAAAACTCACAAAGCGGGAAGCAGTGGCCGGTGTTGAGGTACTCCCTGCCGAGCGTGGTGAGCTTGCTGAGGACGGAGGCGAGGCGGTCGTCGGGCGCGGGCAGCGCGCGCGCCAGCGCCTCCGCCTCCGCCAGGATGTTGCTCCAGATGCTCTCCACCAGCAGCGCGTCCGTGTGCCCCGAGCACTGCACGATCGCCAGCTTGCACTCCCACAGGTTGTAGCGGTCCGCGTACTCCTCGTAAAGCTGCGCATATAACATATTACATTACACATCCTGAATTTATTGATTATTGGGAGCGTAAAATGCAATGAAAAAATATCAAATGAGACGCCATACGCTTAAACAATTTGCATGTATAAAATTAGATGTTGCATTCGACTTCGTCCGCATGGAATTAAAAAATAGTCAAACAATAGCATATGTTACTCATTGATAACATAGCTTTTCAGTGATGATTTTTTTTTATACATGCAAAATGGTTTTTAATACATTTTAACGTCTTTAACGTCTATGAATTTTTTAATCTGTGTTTACATTATAAAAATAAAATTTAACCTCTATTGAATCAAAACAAATATGCAAAGACTGAAAAATATAGTTGTACCCCTGTACCATACCTGTGTGACCTCTAGCAGTTCATCATCGAGGCGTCGTATGAGATGCGGCGGGGGCGCGGGGCGCTTGGCGGCGGCGGCGCTGCGCACGGCGGCCTGCACGCGCGCCACCTCGCCCGCCTCCTCCAGCCGCCGCAGCAGCTCGCCGCCGCCGCCCGCGCCGCCCGCCCCGCCCGCGCCTGCTGCGCACACCACGCCCGCCGACAGCCACGACATGCGCTGCGAGAGCGTCGCACCGGAACTGAATACATACATATTTTAATTACATTTCATTATAAATAAAAAAAAATATAGAAACATACGTGTTTTAGTTATTTTAAAGCTTATACATATATTAACCCGTTAATACCATACAAGACGCCCGGCGCGGATTTTTGACAAATCATCGTCGTTAAAAAAATAATTACCCATTAGGTTGCAAAGTGCGCCCTAGACCAATTTTAGAAAATTCTTTAAAACGCCCCCATTGCGACTAAAGTAAATTAAACACAGATTCAAGCCATAAATCGTGATAGAATACATTACAGAATAGATACGAATTTACGAATTAAACATTATAATATTGTAGAGGTAATTTAAAATGATAGGAAAATATCATGTACTAATGTAAATTTGTGAAAGTAGAGCTATTCTAGTTACTTCTTTTGGTTATTTACCCAGGTCTAGTAGCGAGTCCTTCGAGTACTTCAGCAGCCGCCAGATGTTCTCCAGCGCGTTCCAGAACCTTCCAGAGCAAGTCCAGCAGCTGCAGCGCGGCGGGC